TCAATGAGAAATACAATTCTGTTGTGAACAATTGCCAAGTGGTTTGGAGGTTTGTCCATGTTGTTTTGAGAATGTAATTTCTGTTTCAAGAAATTAGTCAAACCAATGGAGAAAAACTGTAAAATGGTGGCGTAAAATCTCAACAACAATTGTTTTGTACAGGAAGGTGAGTCATCCATATAAACTTCCAGTGACTGTAAAAGTACATCACAAACACAGAAACATAATGTCTTCATGTCTTGAACTAAGTGCTTTTTCGGGAGAACTTCGCAGTGTGCTCCAATACAAACAGATGGTTTTTCTATTAAAGGTGCCCTCCTTTGTCTCATCCTTCTTGCTACACTCCTGTGTGTGTGTTTGTTTTACCGTGAAATAGATTATCACTGTAGCACTGCTGTCTGCAGTCAAGGTCAGAGGTAGATAGGTGGGGGAGGGTGGGGATAGAGGAACAAATGTGGCATGACATTAGACAGGTTGCAGCAATGTGCACAGTTTACAGTACTTGATGGGGCGTGTTTATGATGTTATTTATCATGTATAAATAAACTGAGAAGACCCGTGAATTCCCAGATTACAAGCACGAGAACCAAGGGAGAAACTAACACAGAGAAACAGTTGCAGATTAGACAGACAGAGACAAAGAGATACAGAGAGGACACTTGTGTTTTGTGCGTCTGTATGAGTAATGAGAAGTCAGTATCTGCATGTGAGAGGGGGCTTTGTGAGATCGGGGTCACACTAACCCAGTGAGTGATAGTGAACCGGAGCTAACACAGGACTCATCGCGGTCTACTGATAGAACAGGAACAGGAACAGGAGGCTGTGTGCCACAGAGACAGGCTGCAGGTTTTCATTTTGATCAAACACTACAGCAGCTGATTTCACTGATGATTTCACTGAAGCAAAACTTCACCCAGAGACAAAGTGGTAATCAGCGAAATCAGCTTGTGTATTGTTTAATCATAATGGAGAGCTCCTGACTCTTGGCCTCCCAAGCCACACGGCAGCAACTTATCTTATAGTAGAAACAAACTGCGCTATATGAAATTGAAGTCCTTATTGTGTCCCAAGAAGGTACTGGCAACCTGTCTTCAGTACAATTTGCCTCTTGCCCAGTGCATGCTGGGATAAGATACAGCCCTGTATGACCGGGAACAGGATAACATTTTTAGACAAACAAGACAAACTAAAGGACAGATTAATGGAGAAACCGACAGGCGGAGGTTGGATGAATGATGGACAGATTAATTGGTGGATGGAGGAACAGGTGGACAAAAAGATGGAAAGGTAGAAGAATGGATGGACAGACAAATAGATGGATAAATGGATGTATGGATGGGTAGATAAACAGATGGACAAACGGATAAATGGATTAATGAAAAGACACACAAACACATGGATAGACAGACAGATGGACGGATGAATGAACAGACAGATGAAGGGATAGATGGCGTTGGGTATTGTTTTCTTGGGGCACAGTTTTTTTTATCGATCCTGGTATTTCTAGTCACTCCTGCGGCCAAAGTGACACATTGACATTTCTATCTGACATTTCTCCTGCCTCACAGTGGAAATTGCAGTATGAGAGGATCAATACTTCCCACCTCGTAGTTCCACTCTGAATGAGCAGTGATGCTCCATTTATCGAAGCTTGTTGATGGCTACACATTGAAGATCCACCACTAAATTACTTCTCTCAGTGAGCGCCGATCATTACCGACCCTTGACATTTGCCTCATACATCAATTTAGTCAACATGAGTGTGTAAATTAAACACAAACTGATTGGAGGACATGAACAGGGCAGTAGCCAAAATTTTACAATGAGTCAAAATTCATTCAAAGTTCTAGTTAAATTCTTTAAAACTTACTAGACTAGACGCCAACCAAACCCTGTAAAAATGTTTAGACAGAAAACCCAAATTAAATATTTAATTATTTTTTGTAAATCTTATTATTATATTCTAGTCTAGATATTCAAGCCTTTTTAACACTTTCAGGTATGTAACTGTTATGGAGAGTGAAGATGATTTTGAATTCTGGTTTAGGGATTGCCTAAAGCATCTACTCCAACACAAAGTAACTACGCCACTCCATTTTAAAGGGAAATGCTGCCCTTTTTATCTATAGTTACTTTTCAGAATCATATTTTACAATAAAAAAACATTAAAAAGATTAAACCACTGGTTCCCAACCTTTTTGACCTGGGATCCTTTGTGATAAATCAGTGTCAGTGGTGGTTTGTGACATTTCAGGTGTCTATGAGGTGTTAACAATGATTTACCCTTTAAATCTCTCAGATGGTTTCATTTAAACAACGTAGATTATCCAATATTTCATAAAATGCACATGTCTGAGAAATCTGTCCGAAAATGAATTCAAATTTGTGTAACAGGACTTGTTTTGTTCTTCTCCTTTCCCATTAATCAGACTCAGACTACTACTCACTACTCTCTGGTGGACAAACTGTAGAGTGGTTTTAAAACATATCTTTGGCATTTCTGTACTTCAAGTTGTCGTCATTTATCTGCTGACATATTTACCAATATGATATTCTTGTAATGAGCTAATATCGGTGGTACTCGATTAGAAACCACTGTACCAAACTTACTGTATATAAAAAAGTTCAAACAAGCTTCACCTCAAACAACTATAGTTGTTTACAGTTGTTTATGGCTGTATACAGTAGTATGTTATCTAAGCGTTGATGCAAAAGTAATAAAAAAAGGTCATACAATAATCAGTCACAGGGCCACTTTTACTTTTGATACTTTAAGTAGAGTCCTGATAATACCTCTGTACTTTTATTTTTGAATGAGGGACTTTTCCACTTAGACAGATAGATACTTTATCCATCCCCAAGGGGAAATTCAAACTTCCTCATATACCTTGAAAGAAGGTGAAGTTGTGTCAGACAATCCCTACTGATGAGTGGTCAGAACGAGTGTAGCAGGTGTTATTGTACAAAATGTAAACCCCTTTATATGACATTAGCTCCTCCATATTCCCAGAATATAAATTAGGATATAACCTCATTATCCACAATGGTAGCTGGAGACACATGGAGATGTAAACATAACAGGTCTAATTTTCCTCATCATCTTTACATTTGTCAAACAATCAGCTTCACAAAGATCATCAGCAGACAAAGACACACACATATCGAGGGCGTGTGTGTGGGGGGGGTTATATGTCTCTTTTCCTGTATTCACGTCAGTGCACAGCTGATGGCACAAATCACCTGTAAAGCTTGCACAATCCAAATCTGGGTCATTTGTATTCGAGTCTTTGTGTGTTTTTTGTTGTATCACAACTGTCTGTCTGGACGGGCACTCGAGTCTTCCTCCTCCACCTTTGTATGCGTGGAGAGCAGACAGCTATATGTGGTATTTTGCTATGGGTGGAGCCCCGCATGACCACTGACCTATATATTGGCACACTCAGGAGGCACCCCGTTGCCATGGCGCCAAGAGTAGCAGATGCAGAAAGAAAGAAAGAAAGAAGAGATGAAGGCTAGCTAGTGAAAGTTCTCATTTTAAACGACAGAGAGATTCTGAGTCAGTCGTATTGAGTTTCAGCTGCCAGAAAAGATTCTCATGCTGTTGTTGAAAAAGGCAGGAAAGTCCCTCTGTGATTTGATAGAGCTGTAAAACACCTCGACTATAGCAACTTCCCTGACAGCTCCTACGAGATGCCTGGTGGGGTTTTGTCCTATATACGCCGTGTTCACACAAAGCTGCCTCGGCTGCTGCTGCGGCTTGCACTAAAGACAGAACTTGCCATCAAATATTCAACAGTTCACATGGGGGGAAACACTCAAGCCTGCCTGCATGACTGCTACTGGTAGAAAGTAGGTTGGGCCCACAAACTCCCCATCACATGCAGGAATCGCTACATGTGTCATGCATAAACACAGGAACAAATAGGCGTGATCACAGTTACACTGACACACAAGAGCAGACGCTGAGCTGTGGCTGCCTGATACTGCTTCATTTTTCCAGCAGAATGTCACTCTTTGATACTGTGTGTGTGAGTGTGTGTGCGTTGTACTATTTCCCCTATGAATAGCAGGGGAGTTGCAGCACAAAGGGAGTAATTGTTCTTGTCTGAACACCACCAACAGTCCACCGAGGAGGCTGCTGTGGCTGCTGCACTCAAACAGGGAAAGTCAGAGCGAAAAAGCCCACTAATCCATCATCTTCACCAGGTCTCACCGTGACAATAAAGCACTGACACAACATTTCACTGCAATGAAGGCGTTCATTTTGTGATGCACTTCCGGACGCAAACAAGAAGTTGTTCAGACTTTCTCGGCTTTTGAAGATAATTGGTTGAGGCCAAGAAGAGTGTAAGTGAGAGACTGCAGGACAGTCAGCGTAAACAGGATTACTCAGAGGGGCAAAATGTTATATAGAGAGGACAATGACTGGCCTTGTGTGGCTCTCAGTTCAAGTTAATTTAGATGGAAATAAAGGATTCTATTGATTTAGTGACCTGTTATTCTACCAGTCAATACACAAATTGATTAAATGTTCAGATAATCAGTGTTTTAACGTGTTTTTCATCACGTTCCATTCCAAAAATCAGTCCATTAAGGAATTTAATTAGAATATTAGAAGTATATTGTATATAACTTAAAATATAATTAATAAGTGGGTATATTATATATTATAAGCAGTATACAAAACATTTCATGAATGGCTTATCACACACTATAATGCACAGGGCTGCAACTAAGTATTATTTT